CTTAATGACAGTGATGCATACTCTGAAGGCCCAACTTCTAGAAAACCACATGCCCCTTACACGTCTGTTCTAAACAAAAACTAAAGGCAAGCCAAAATCTATCAAAGAGAGTGCTGCCCAAAGCCTCTGTCAAAGCATGAAAGTAGACAGTAACTATCCTGAAGCTAAATGCTTCCAAACAGTTACAGCATGCAAACGTGATTTTGTTATACTGTCTTGTGTTAGTTCAGATTTGAACTTTGAGCAAAACTTCTCACCAAAAGTGATATGAAAAGTGTTGCTTAGCTTTGCAGCCTTATGTACCCAGGCATAAACAATGCTCTCTTGTTTTCAGTTTTACCTAGTAATGTTTATCTAATCTAGCTGGGCTTTATGTCCAATAGCTACATCTCAGCAGTGCTAAGCTGAAGACATGTTTCTTCCTTAGCTTCCTGCCACAGTTAAGACGGTTATTTGCAAAGTTGCTGACCAGGCAGAGTGTGCCAGCTTGGTAACCTTCACATAAACAAGAGCATTGGGCTATAATTAGTAACAATAATAGCAATGCCTTTTGTGACTGAAAAAGTATAAGAAGTTGATACTTCATAATGTTATTCATTTTGCAGTTGAAACTGCATAATGTAACTCTTTGATAGAGTTATTCTTTCTTGTGCTGATTGTGTGTTGTGCTTTTGTTTTGAGGCCATTAAAATAAATATCTCTATTTGTTGTATCACTCCATCACTCGTTACATGCCTCCTCCCTTCACCATGAGAACTGATCTGAGGTGGTTGAATTTTCCTGCAGCTCAAATACAGTGGTGCCTTGACTTATGAACATCCCTACTTACAGCCATTTCGACTTATGAACAGCTCTGGTGGCAAAAATTTGTTTTGACTTGCGACTGGAGCGTTGACATTCAACCAGAAAAAAAAGTGGGGAAGGCGGGGAAAGCGACATTCAACCGGAAAAAAAAGTGGGGAAGGGGGGGAAAGCGGGAAGTTTGAAATTTCAGTTAACTGTTGTTCAGCGAAGAGGCTGCTTGTCTGTACCTCAGTTTGAACTTTCAGTTAACCGTTGTTCAGCAAAGAGGCTGCTTGTCTGTACCTCATTCACCCCAGCAGTTAGAGAGTGTGGATATGGAGAGAGACTTCAGACTGCCAAAATTTTGCAAGCAGAGCTGCCCGTAAGCCAAAATGTTCGTAAGTAGAGGCACCACTGTATTAAATTAAAATTAATTGTGAAAATTAGAGTGTAATTTTTAAATGTAACATTTATTATTATTTTTGCATTCTGTGGCTCCTAGGGTTTGTGTACTGTGACCTTTCTTTTGTTTAAAAATGTGTGGGTTTAAAATGTGACTCCAAAGTCTTTTTGTTTTAAAATCAGAAAATTTTCTGTGAGGGGCTGCTGTGGTGGGCTGGCATGGTGTAAAATGGGGTTTAGACTCAAGTCTCCCCCCTCCCCAATTGTCTTCACTCTATCTTCTCTCTTTTTGTGCTTAACAGCACAAACTTTTGTCTGAGGGGTTTGTGTGCCCCAGTGATAATCTTCTTTCTTTCCTCTTTTCCCCATTGTTCCCTCCCTCCTTTCCTGCCCTTTTTTAACCTAAGTCATCTTAGGTTAAAAGAAGAAAAATTCTCCCCGTAGTGGTAGAGGATGGATTAACTGTTTTTGCATTCGTTCCTATGGGAACGAATGCTTTGACTTGTGACCGCCGCCTCTACATACAACCAAAAACATCCAGAATGGATTAATCGGGTTTCAATGCATTCTACATACAACCAAAAACATCCAGAACGGATTAATCGGGTTTCAATGCATTTTAATAGGAAATGCTGCTTCAACTTACAGCCATTTCGACTTACGACCATCTTCTGGAACGGATTATGGTCGTAAGTCAAGGCACCACTGTACCAAGCTGGTTAATATTTGTAGACCTCAGAGGAACTGAGTCCTTAAAGTATTCTCTGTCCATGTTATGAAGTGTCTCCATCCTTCAATTAGCCTTTAACAGTCCAAGGATGAACTAAGTTAAAAGTAGTTGATTTGAATGCTCTTAGGCTAATGGGACTCTCTGAATGCTTAATTTTGGAAGGATTCACAGGAACACCCAAATATGACATTCATTCTTTTCACCTTCAGGTTTTAAAAAGTAAATCTTCAGATTATGTGAAATATTTTGCAACTGCAGTAAAGTAGTTGACACGCTGAAACTTGACATTCAGATATTGTTATTTAAGATATTTTACCTCACTTTTCTCCTAAAAATGACTCCAGGCAGCTTATATAATTAAAAACACAGTATTAGAAGCTAAAAACAGTAAACTGTTCAAATATAAAAAATTAATAACCATCTATTAAAAATGTTAGGTGAAAAGGATTTTTAACATACATACAATCCTTCTACGGATCCGGAGATACACCTTGGCACAGCTATACCCGGCCCATACTTGCTGGACTGGGACAAGGCCATCTTTCATAGGTGAAGAAAAGTGTGTGCTAACTCCTAGTAGTAATTTCAGATTTCAAATGGTAATTAAAAGTGATATTAGGGGTTGCCTGAGGCTGCTGCCACCAACAGCAAGCCTCGCCCCAATCTCCCCTCCTCTCCTACATTCTAACATGTAGTGCTCTCTAAAATGTCAATTTCAATTTGCTTTGCACAAATGTGAAGCTGATGCTCCACCATGGGGATTTAGCTTCTGCAGATAAAAGCCATCTGATCTTTTTACAGTGAAGCCTCTGTTTTGCCATGTACTTTTTCCGCCGTAAATGGGATCTTTTGTTCCTTTGCAGGAAAATTTTGGATCATGAGAGATGTGTTTGATTACATAAACCAACTCCTTTCCTTTAGAATTTGTAAACAGAGAATAGAACTTTTGTTTAATTGACCTTCTAACCATGGGAAACTCATAAAACAAGAATAGTGATCTGTTTTTGATAAGGAGGTAGTACAGTGGGAGACTATAAACCAGAGTATCTCAGGTATCAGGAAAACCATAAAACAAAGAGCAATAAAATTGGGAATATTACTTAATAAGTAATCATGAAGAAACTATTTGGCAGTATTGGACTATTCGTATCCTAATAGAGGTACCGTATTCAATGCTAGCAAAGCAACTGAGAGTCTTTTGACACTAATGAATTGATTTTAGTCTGAGCTTTCACAAATTACACCCATTCTGTGCCTAAGGTTCATGTTCCACTGAATACAGTTAGACTTAAATTCTTATTAAGTACATACAGGATTGTAGAGTGAACATGGAAAATCTTTCTTTCTAAAAATAGTATACTGAAGTTATTGTATCAAAACTATAATTTGGAATAGAAAGAATGTGCCTCTGATATGAGACATACCAGCAACTACAGGGTTATTGCCAAGGTCTTTGCTTGGTATGCTTTGGACATTTACCAAGCTATTCCCGGACAGCAGTTCCATTTTGATTGGTTCTTTAACTTAACACTGGAAGCAACAGATGAAAGCAAACTCTGCCCCGGACTCTGCAAAAACGTATTTGCTTTTCCTCGGTGATTCTCTCTTCCTAACATGGAAGCAAGCTGCCTCGTTCTCCTGCTTAGAACATGTATCCAGATCTTTCTTCTCCCCATTTACCTGCTGTGGTACGTGGGGATATGGGGCTCTCTATGCCAGAGGGCCTTCCCATATTTCATGGCCGTGATATCAGTCCATTACAACAAGAAGATGAATGCCAAGAAGAAGGAACTTCTCAGCAACCTGAAAGATTTTGCAAGCCCTGCAGGCGAGCTGACCCTACTGGAGATTGGCACAGGAACTGGGACCAACTTCCAGTACTACCCAAGAGGATGCAGAGTGATATGCACTGATCCCAACCCCAACTTCAAGAAATTTCTTGAAAAGAATCTGTCTGAGAATCCACACGTAAAGCTGGAGCGTTGCTTGGTGGCACCAGCGGAGGACTTGCACCAAATACCAGATGCATCAGTCGATGTGGTAGTTAGCACTCTGGTATTATGCTCTGTGAAAAGCACAGAAAGAGTCCTGGAAGAAGTCTTGCGAGTGCTGAGACCAGTAAGTAACTCATGATATGGAAAGAGGATGGATAAGCCAGTAACTAGCATGCTAAACTAGGAATCCCTGAGTGTTGCAATGGGACTCTGGAGAAAGGCATGAATCCCTGCTGAGCAAGGAAATTCCCCTCCTCTGTCTCTGCTTGAACTGCCTCATAGGGTTGGGGTGGGGAGAGCCATGTTAAGCTGCACTGAGGTCATGAAAATAATGGTGCGAAATACACACAGATACAGGCTAGTTATATGGCAGATGACAGAAAAAGCCTTCTATATTATGTGAGCACAACAAAGTTTGCTTTTGAGCTGTTAACATTCACAGACCTGATCATTCTAGACCCCCATTTTCTCCTGTTTTTCCTAAATGCAAGCCTGCTGGAAACATTGCCAACGCCTTGAGAGGCATTCTCGACAGCACATTAGAGAGATTCCAAACATTTCTTTAGAATGCAGTCCTAAACATGCGTTCTGTCGTGGGGAGAGCGAGCTCTGGCGAGGAACTGCACAGGGCACCCGCCTGCCCTCCTCAACTCCAAAGTGGAGGGGAGGGTGGCGTACCAGGCCAGCTGGACTCTTTGCCTAGTGGAACCCTGACCAAGGCTCTCCTTCCTGCCCGCACCCACCCACCTAGTGTGCCAGTGAGGAGGCCCCCTTCCCACCCCGCCTTACCTGAGCTGGCCCCATGGCGCCCGCCTCCCCTTGCCAAGGACACGCTTTCCCAGCGGTGTGGTGGCTCCAGACTGGCTGCCTGGGTGGTGGCCACAGGTCCCGGGTGAGCGCAGAGGCAGGGGGGGTCGGCCGTGGACGGGGGGGTAATGTCAACGTATATAAATTGAGGGGGGTAAAAAGGTAAAAAAGTTCCCTGACCCCTGTTCTAGACCCCCATTTTCTCCTGTATTTCCTAAATGCAAGCCTGCTGGAAACACTGCCAACGCCTTGAGAGGCATTCTCGATAGCACATTAGAGAGATTCCAAACATTTCTTTAGAATGCAGTCCTAAACATGCGTGTTCAGAAGTAAACCCCACTATGTTAGATATAATGCATCTCTAGGCAGATATAGGAATGTTAAAAACTGCTACCTTTAAAATTTTTAAAGCTTCTCTCCTGTTATTAGATGCTTCTGTGAAACACAAAAACGAAGTTTTAAATATATTTGTATGTAGCATTTCAGTTGCCGTCTGGTAAAGTTGATCTAGCATCTATTTATAGCCCTTCCTCCTTTCCTCTGTGAAAGAGGCAGACAGACCAACACAGACAGAAAATGTGTGCTCTTTTGTTTGAAATATATTTTGGCTCCTTGCAATTTATTTCATAGAGTTATACATATTTTGGAAAGAGCTTGATATCTTGCTATCTTTTGGTACTGATCAGGAAAACTGACAAGACTGGAGAAAATTCTGCTCACTTAAACTGATGTTTCTTTTCTTGGTAAACTGACATAAACTGTCTCCTTTTTCTACTCTTTGGTAAAGAAACTTTTCAAAACTTCAGTAGATTCCATTTTCCATCAGCCTTGTCATCCCTTTTCCTGGCCTCCAGTAAAACTGGGGCAGCTTTCCTCTGAACCTTGCCAATTTTATAAAGAGCAGAAGGGACTGTGAAGGGAATGACAATGAGGGTAGAAAGACTAGGAATACCCATGCACTTGCATCTGGGAGTCCAATCAAATAATTCAAATGGTGCCTGGGAGAAGGAAAACTCCAATTTCAAACCTCCACTGCCTTGTGGCTATATCCACAAAGGCTTCAGGAGTTAACCTAGAGGCAAAATCCGGAGCTGGAGTCCCGAAGGCAGTTCGTGTCGTTCTGCCAACTCCTGCGACGTTGCTTGAACCAGTTGTATTGGCTCTTGCTTTTCCATTGGACCATTTCAGCAACGTGGAGAGGGGGGATTTGCTGCTTGGGTAACAGCCTATCCTCCATACTACTTTACCCAGGCTTCATGCTCTGGAGAGGACACTTCTCGATACAGAGCACTTTACCATAGTCTCCCGAGACTGAAGGATGCCTATGATGATGGCTGGGATCTGCTGACATACATACCACTACGGAGCTCCAGTGAGGCTATGCCATGGCTGTGATGGAAAACCAAAAGCTTTCCATCCCACCTCACCTTCAGGCAGACCCCAGGGGAACTCTAGGGATCCTCTTCATCTTAGGAGGCCTTTGGGAGATGCAGGTTAGAAATGTCTTAGAACTCCATCACTCTAGCAATCAGTAGTTGTTGTGCAAAGTGAACAGCTCTCTGGGCAAGTGCTGCCAAACAGTCACAGTAAATGCCCTTCACTGTACAGTACAAAGCAATCCGTAAGAGTGCTTATCCAAAAATCTAAATGTCATTAACATCCATCTTATTTTATTTGTACAGGGAGGTGCTTTCTACTTCATGGAACATGTTGCAGGAGCTCCAGGCAGTTGGAGTCTCTTCTGGCAGCAAATCTATGCACCAGCGTTTACCATATTGTTTGATGGGTGCCATTTGACCAGAGAAACCTGGAAAGGCCTGGAAAAAGCTGGATTCTCAGAGCTGAAGCTACGACATATAGATGCCCCATTGAAGTGGAATCCTGCTAAGCCTCATGTCATAGGCTATGCTGTCAAGTAACTATATATTAAAGGCAATTAAACAAGTTTTCAAACACCAATGTATGAAGGTGATTGTATATCTTTGCGGCTGGAATTGGACATAGAGGCAAAAGGGCTGAAAGCTGCAACTGAAACAACCTGAAACAACTTGGGGCTCAATAACACATCAAAATACTACCGGGTTTGCATCGGGATTAGCATGCTTGAAATCCATTTAACAATTACACAAAGTACAGCTAAGCGTACTTTTTTTTGCCAGAGAGTGTGGCTTTTGTTCAGAAAGCAAAGTATTTTAAACAGCCAGGAGGGGGATGTTTATTTTAACTCATTTGTGAACACATTTTATTTTGAATTGCTTTTTGGCACATGTGCTTGCCTGTGTAGGACTAAATTGTATCTGTGGGGTTTGTCAAGTATTGGATGTCAGGATCATGTTTTTCAGACTGCATGGTCACCTTGCAGTCTGATCTGTTATATATATACTTTCTATATAGAACTCTGATCTAGTGCTATTCCAGTTAAAAATTGTTTTAAAAACCCCAAGCACTTGACTGCTGGAGAGCTCCATGAAAACAGGAACGCCCTTCTGTGGCAGGCTAGCAAAAAACGAAGAGGAGAGGTAGAGAGAAATGCTAGAGAAGGAAATAGGAGGCTCCAAGAGGCAAGTCAGGAAGCAGACCCCACAAAGCTCCAAAGGGACTGATCCATTCTTCTTTGCAAGCCACAGTGGCAAAAATTATGCAGTATGTGCGTGTGCATCCATGTGTAAGTCTAATGGTGGCATCAGTTGAGTGGGGTTTCCTCTTCAGATGTAGCTGACAACTACTTGAAGAATCAAGTGCCTGTGCTTTTTAAAATTCTTATTATGAAATTTCCCTCCCACACACCCCAATATTATCTCTCTACTCCGTTCTTGTGAAAAGGGTTTGGGAAGGAGCCAACCTAATGATCTCAGCCAAGCAAAGTGGAACGATTGCCAGATGATCATTCTCCCTCCCTCCCTGGAAACCTTCTTCAGACGTCTTTACAGAGTGAAGGGAGGGAAAACAAAGCATTCCCCAGCTTTCAGATATTTGTATCTCCCTCTACACACACACGCACGCACGCACGCACGCATGCACGCACACACACAGAGCACCAAATTGCCATATTGCTTCTAAATGCTGTAATTTGAAATTCCATGTAGTTCTCTGGACCGATATACAGAATCAGACATCAAATTCTCCCATTAAGATAGAGGCGGACACAAAGACCATGTAACAATAAACCAACTTCAAAATACTTGAACCAACTCCTGATTTATTTCTGCAATGTAACCGCACCCTTGGATGTGTTCCAACAGGAAGGAATATTTCCTTCCCTCCATAGATTTTTGTTCCACCCCAAAGCAGCCTTGGTCAGCATTTGCATCTGAATAAAAAAAGTGACAAGTCTGAATTATTTTATATTTACTAATATTTCACCTAATACTGGCCCATCCCTGAGCTGTTTTTTCACCTTTTTTTCTGTAGAAAAGGGAAAGCTACGTGCCACCTAAGTGTAGAAAGAAGAAAAATGTATATGGGAGGGGTAATTTTCAGGAAGCTCTTTTGCAGACTGTTCTTCCATTCACACTGATAAAGTCAATGAATACTTTTGCTGAGGAATGAAATATACTCGTAAGGTGACCTTAGCAAGCTGGCTGATCTAGTCAAATTAAAAACTGCCCCCCACCTATGCTTTTTTTAAATCTTTACTGATATGAAAGCAAAGAACAAGACAAATTAGACTGCTGTAGAACTTTTCAAAGCTGGGATGTCAGATTTAATTTTTTTAAGGAACCCTGAATGTTATTTTATTGACATCTACATTTCTGTCTCAAAACATCAATTCTTCTAAGGGTAAATGGCTTTGAGTCTTATTTATATACCCCAGTTGCCAACTGCTATTCATATGTTATCTAGGCATAATGAATCTCTTCTGTAAGAAGACATTTCTCCTTATTTTAACAGAGAACAATTCTCCGCCAATATCAATCAGAAAATGTTAGGACACAAGCAAAGAATTGTTCTATAACGGGTTTACAGATCTCTTGAGCACTGGAGATTGTTGTGAATATTCAATTCAACACCTATTTTTTTTAAAGCAACTGTACAGATTCCTTTCACCACCTTCAGTGAAGTCTAACCAAAACTACTTCTTAGAAGAGTATCATCAGTTTGACTTTTTCATAGCATCAGCAGAGGACTTCACCCAGGTAATCGATTCCTCTGCAGAAGTTGTCATTTGCACTTTGGTCCAGTGCTCAGTGAAGAACGTAAGGTTTTCTGAAAGAAGTCTCCAGAGGATTCTAGTTTAAAGAAAGAGGGGCTGGGATGGAAGGACAAGAAGCAAAGTGCCATTTGTATATAGATCCTGTAAATATAAAACAAAATGGTTGAGATCCAGAAACAAGTCTCAAGAATTGGTCCATTGAATCTGTGGGGATTTAGAGAGTCAGTAAGTTCCACTGGTTCAAGGGATGTATTCTAGGGCAACTTAGTACAGTACTGTACTAGGTTTCAGCCAACATATAGTATCCTATCAATCAGGAATTGATATTGTAAGGCACACTTATTAAGTGGTAAGCTCCATTTATTGTGTACCACTAACTGCAGTGGGGAAAGGTATATAAGGAATCCTACAGAGTGTGGGCAGGCAATAACCCTTAAAGCATAAGATGATCAGATACAAAAGAGGTAAGCATTTCAAGAGATGTGCCCCTAGCATGATTTTTTTTCAAAACTTAAGCATATATAAAATTATTTTTAAATAGTTTAAATCAAGTCAGTGAATTTAGGTATAAATTAGTAATATCCAAAAAGTCCTATCATTAACAGCTGTGCTAAGATTTTGGAGACTCAAGGCCATTATTCAGTCACATATTTGGTATTTCTCTTTTCCTGCTGCCTCTAACAATTCCCAGCATTACTGCCTTTTCCAGTGAGTCTTGTTTTGGCATGTGCCCAAAGTAAAATAGCTTACTTCATTCAGTCTTGCATTTAGAAAGATTTCAGGCTTAATTTAGAACTCATTTCTTTCTAGCTGTTCATGTACAACCGTAACCCCACTTTTATACTTTTCTTTTGACCCTCCTCCATAATCATTGGTAGTTTCCACCGGCAATATAGTATCATCTGCATATCTTAAATTATTTTCTTCCGTAAATTTTCTCTCATCTGCATCTAATTCAGTTTTCCATGATATACAGTATTCTATATCCAAATTGAACAGCTACTGTATGGAGGTAATATATACCCTCTGCCATCTTTACCACTGAAAAAACATTGTTTCTTGATATTTTGGCCTAATAATATCCTTTTATCCAGAGCACATGACAATCAACTGCTGTGGCATTTTCTTTTAGAATAATTTGTAGTTTTTCAGGATCCACATAAAGGTTTTACCTTACTCTACAAAACATAAACTGACTTTCTTCTGAAATTCTCTGGTACTCTCCATTACCCAACGTAAAATTCCAGTATGATCTCTAGTGCCTTTTTGGTATCTGAATCCAACTACAACACCTGTCATTTTTCTCTCTGTATACAGCAATCTGTATACAAGCCGCCCAGAGACCTCTGGGTAGAGTGGGCGGCATATAAATTAAATAAATAAAATAAATAAATAAATCCTTTGTTGTTGTAATTTAGCTATTGTGTTATGTGCCATGAGGTTGCTTCTAACTTATGGTGATCCTAACTTGGTTTTCAAGGTACTGTATGTGAAATGAGCAAGAGGTGGTTTACCATTGCCCCTCCAGTTTCCAAGGTCAAAAAGAGATGTGAAACCAGGTATACTGAGTTCTGACACTTCACCTACTAAATCATACTCTCTCAAATGTAGCTATTATTTAAATATTTTATTTCACATTTCTCCTTAAAAAGGACACAAGGCGGTTTGCATCATTAAAAGGCAATTTTTAAAAGCTAAAAGCAGTAAGAATACAAATATTAAAAAGAACCAAACACCACACTAAAATCACAGCTCCGTAAAATTACAGCTCTGCAAAAGGAATCGTCAGAGCCGCTCTTCTTACAGTTGCACAAGCCTCTTTTTTCAGGAAAGTGATGAGTGGAAGATTTCATAAACTGATTCAGATGCAATGAAAGTACTTTAAAACCAGATACCAAAAAAAGGAGACAGAACCCCTGAAAACAATAAAGGTGTTATTTCAAGATGGCCTCATCTGCTACCCTAGCCGCCTAGAGTGGTCGAAATGACTAGATAGGCGGGGTATAAATACAATACATAAATAAAAATAAATAAAAAATACCCTGAAGGACAGCACAACGTTCGGTGAATGTTAAAAGCATCAAGTTTATATTAACGTCCCTTTAGTTTCCTCACGTTGTCCAGCCATGTTGAAAACCTACAGGGTTTCTTGCTTCGTTCTCTACTGGGCTGCCCAAACCTAGAGGTTTAAGAGAGTGCAGTTCCACTCCCACAGACCTCAAAGGAGGGGAGACCCAGCTCCCGCCATGCTCAGCAGCGCCCTCCTGGCTTTTGTCTCAACAGCCCCAAGGCCGAAGGCTGCCCTCCGCCGCCCACAAGCAGAGCGGGAGCCGCGAGCGAACACAAGAGGTGCTCACGCGCCCCTTGAAACCCTTCGCGCGCGGTACGTGATGCTCAACGTCCCGCGGGGACCAAGATTACAAAACGAGCAGGAGACTTCCGCCATTTTGGCTTAAGACTAGACGATGGGGCAGAGTGTTTGCCCCGCCCTTGCTTCATTTTTGGCTCTGTGGGTACTGCTAAGTGAAGTCCAGCCCAAAGTCGTGTCCTCCGCGATTGCTACAGAGGGTGAGCTTAGTTTCCCCATCCCTCTGCGGCACATAAGAGACCCCGTCCCAGCAGGAGGCGTCGAACAAACCCAATTCGGCCGAGACGCCTCGTCTGCTTAAATAGCGGCACGCTTTTAAGCCCGAGGAAGGAAGTGCGCCTGCGCATGAGTTAGAGCGGGGGGGGGGTTAGGAAGGAACACTCCAAAACTAAAAGTTCCGACAGCCTCTGGTAGAAGCGAGTGACGTATGTTTGTGGGTGTGCCAGCGTATACGAATACGTAGTGCCTGGCGGTGTGATCTGCGCGATGTCTTTGGAACTCATTCCCTTTGAGATGCTATTTATGGGAGCTGCTTCGAACTACAGTACAGTAATTGGAAGATACCCAGGGGAGGGAGGACTTGTCTACATACCGGTTGTGGAGCGGGCTAAAAAAGTTACGAGGAGGTCCGGTATGCCATTTGGTGCGAACTTCCCGTCCATGGCATAGGGCGCCAAAGCGACCCTATTAGGTCCCCACCAGATCATTGTCAAAGCGGGAGGAGGCAACCAGTGGGATGTTTGCCTTTTCTTAAAGAGACAGTTGAGAAAAGGAAGCAAAAATTCTGCATATTTCCCCCACTCTGGCCGCATTGCATTGGCTGCCCATCCGCTTTCGCATCAACTTCAAAGTGTTGATGCTTACGTACAAAGCCCAACGGTTTAGGGCCTTGATACCTGGC